TTGAGGTATGTTATGTTTAATTAAATTGAAAAGTACTGGTGCTATCAGCTAAGTAAAAGCTTCTCAACTCTAAACCTTCCAAGGGCTAATTACCTCAGGAAAACATAAATCATAAGATGAAACAGGTGTTTCATAATAAAATAATAAAATAAAGTCTGCATAATAAAACTGGGTAGACTTTCAGGATTCTAAAAGGCTACTGAATACATGGGAAAAAGGTTATACATCAGAAAAAAATCGGTATGTAATATAAACAAATGAAGTTACTGATCTCAGTTATGGATGTGAGATTTTCTTTATACCTGAACTGATAATAACGCAAACTTATTTCCTGTGAACACAAGTTTATGAACTTGGTATAATCATCTAGACACTAGAGAAAATATTTGATCTTTTCACTACATATATGATTCATGGGTTCCAAGGACAGGCACTTTTTTACCATGATGTTGGATCGTTAAACAAAATATCAGAGCAGCAAAAGATACACAAAAACAATTACAAATCTTCTTTGTTTATGCTCAATACCATTACTTTTAAAGGCACTCACTAAGGGTATTTATTCCCTATCATAAAAGTTTTGATGAAGAAATCTACTCATACTCATAACTGACTTAAACTGAAAATATATTATTATTCACATTAGAATATTCTCTGGTTGTTACATAAATAAAAATTCTGAAGATTACTTTAACTTTTGTAATTACACAAAACTACTTGAAATGCAAGTCATTCATATAAAGATTCATATTTATTCAGAATATTTAAGTAAAAATATTAAATACTCACTGAAACTGTCTGGATCAGTATGTACTGTATACCTAAAACTACAGAATGTCTGAATTTGACATGAAATGCTACAGAGATTCAAAATAAATATCCAAACCATCTGCATAAATGCAGCAAAATGTCACAAAGGATTACAGTTCTCCTTTCGGAGCCAAGACACTTGCATTCTACAAGCATAGAATAAATTTGGTGATAAAAAACTACTGTAGTTTTGAGATTATGAATCACTAAGTATTCAGCTCTCAAAGCTGACTTATATTTGGAAGCTGAGTACAAATCAAAATAGAAGGTACAAATCACAACAGAAAAGAAAGAAAATCTCATAACAGGACGTGACAAAAAATATAAACCAAATAACAAAAAGTAATTTTTTAAAGTATGACATAGAAGGATATAATGATGAAATTTAAGAGGAAATTATATACCCTCTATAGCAGTTCCATGTTCAATTTCAAATATGCTGAAAATAAAATCAATATCAACACCCCTGATGATTTACCTCTCTCATGATTTACTACATTTACTTGTATGTATAAACAACAGGGAAAATAATTAATATTTAGTTTAAAAGTTGTTGTTTGACCCCCAAATTTAAAATATTTGCTATAAATATTCATGTATTTACAAATAATATCATCTAAAAAAATAATATCATCTAAATACAATAATCTACACTCTATGTATTCCACAAAAGTTATACATAATATAAAACAGTAATACAATCAGGATTATTCTCATTGATTGTATGTGTCATTTTTAGTCTTTAAAGATTTGTCTAAATATTCACACTGAAATAATTTACAATGCTTCACTATGACAGCATTTCTTTGGTTTAAAATATGAACATATAATGCATTTATTCATCCTCTTCATTTTGGGTGACTGAGTTCTCATTAGCTTTATCAAGTGAGGTACGGCGATATTCCTCCCTGACAAAACCCATCATTATTACGACAGCTAGGCCCTGAATAGCTAGAACGTAGTCCATCCATATCACATCTGCAAGAAAAAAAGATTTAAATATTGCTCAATAAACATGTTAGTTGATTCTCTCTTTTTCACGGATTCTTTCTCTCTCGCTCTCACTTTCTCTCACACTTATTCATTCTCTCTATCTCTCTCATTCTCAATTACTCTCTCACTCTCATTCTCTCTCTCTCTCTCTCTCTCTCTCTAACTCTCTCATTTCTCATCTCTCACCACTCACTAACTCACTCTCACTCACCCACTAACTCATTCTCACTCACTCACAAACTCATTCTCACTCACTCACAAACTCATTCTCAACCACTCACTCACTCTCACTCACTAACTCACTCTCTCACTCACTAACTCATTCTCACTCACTCACTCACTAACTCCCTCTCACTCACTCACTAACTTACTCTCACTCACTCAATCACTCACTCTCACTTACTCACTGAGTCACTCTCACTCACTAATACACTCTCACTCACACACTCACTAACTCACTCTCACTCACCCACTAACTCATTCTCACTCACTCATTAACTCACTCACTCACTAACTTACTCTCACTCACTCTCACTCAATAACTCACTAATTCACTCTCACTTACTCACTGAGTCACTCACTCACTAATTCACTCTCACTCACTCACTCACTCACTCACTAACTCATTCTCACTCACTCACAAACTCGCTCTCATACACTCACTCACTCACTCAATAACTCACTCTCACTCACTCAC